TGGAAATGATGTCAAATTCTTGGAATTATCGAAATTCTAAGAAATGACGTCAAATTCCAAGAATTATCGAAATTCGTGAACGAAAAAAATTTTTGGCCAATTTTGCGATTTTGTATTAGGAGAACATAACTTGACAGGAGGTCGATCGAGAAATTTTTCCGAAAATTTCGGCAGTAGAAATGATGTCAAATTTTTGGAATTATCGAAATTCTAAGAAATGACATCAAATTCCAAGAATTATCGAAATTCGTGAACGAAAAAAATTTTTGGCCAATTTTGCGATTTTGTATTAGAACATAACTTGACAGGAGGTCGAGAAATTTTTCCGAAAATTTCGGCAGTAGAAATGATGTCAAATTCTTGGAATTATCGAAATTCTAAGAAATGACGTCAAATTCCAAAAATTATCGAAATTCGTGAACGAAAAAAATTTTTGGTCAATTTGCGATTTTGTATTAGGAGAACATAAGTTGACAGGAGGTCGATCGAGAATTTCTTCCGAGAATTTCGGCAGTTCTTAGAAATGATGTCAAATTCGGAGAATTATCGAAATTCTAAGAAATGACGTCAAATTCCAAGAATTATCGAAATTCGTGAATGAAAAAAATTTTTGGCCAATTTTGCGATTTTGTATTAGGAGAACATAAGTTGATAGGAGGTCGATCGAGAAATTTTTCCGAGAATTTCGGCAGTTCTTGGAAATGACGTCAAATTCCAAGAATTATCGAAGTTGTCGAATGAAAAAAATTTTTGGTCAATTTGCGATTTTGTATTAGGAGAACATAACTTGACAGGAGGTCGATCGAGAAATTTTTCCGAGAATTTCGACAGTTCTTGGAAATGACGTCAAATTCTTGGAATTATCGAAATTCTAGAAAATAACATCAAATTTCTTGAATTTTTAAAGTTTTTTGAATCAAATAAAACGAAATTTTCGACCAATTGATCGACCTAGAACATAATTTGACAGCATGAAATTCTTTAGATATTTCCAAAAACACACGTTTTTATTAAATTTTAATTATTTATCTATATTTATCTAATACTTACCTCTCACAACTGTCATTCATTTGCAGGATGGATCTTTTTAAAATATTTCTCTTAATCTTACTAATATTTATTTCTTCTACATGCCACATTTTAATAATGGTAATGAACGCTTATTTATTGACACTTTCCTAATTTCTAAAGAATTCAAACGCAAAAATAAAGAATAAATTTTCATCACTTGGCCTATATCTATATATATATATATAAAATTATTCTTAAAACAAGTTAGAAAACATTTCAAACAAAAGTATCTGTACCGCGCAAAATATAATAATATATATAATATAAACTATATTATACATATAAAAGCTTAATTTATACACAAAATGTATAAAAATAATATAAATCTATCCTATCTGTAATCCCAAATTTATTAAAAATTATTATACTAATATATATATATATATATATACTATATATATATATATACTATATATATACTATATATATATATATACTATATATATACTATATATATATATATATATATATATAGATATATATACTATAATCCAAAAATTATTATTACTAATTTTATAATACAAATTACAGGTTGTACCTTAATACGTGTTCGAAACCATCTATCGTGGAAAGAAGATCGGGCGAAAGGGGGAGAAGTTATACGTTCGAGTGGGTACATCTATATAAAGGGAGGGAGGGGCTTACTGGGATTCAATTACCGCAACGTTTGCGAGGCACGCTATTCCCACACCCCCGAAACCTCGCCATTCTTCCCGCAGCCACCTTTCCATTTCTTCTTCAAGAACGAACAGGTGCTCTCGCGCCTGCTGTAAATTGCACCCCTGTAATCCGAAGTAAAGCGGCCGTTTTATCCGCGCCAAGCCAAGAGATGGATGCTCGCTCACTCTTTCGGTCTAATAGGTCGCGCGTCTACACAGACGGGGCTTTCCATCTTTGATGGAAATCTCGGCGGCCCTTGCGGAATTCATCCTTTCTTCGTTGGTTCGAATCTCCCTTTTCTATTTATTCGAAATCTTGTTGTACACATCAATAATAAAATTGCGCGAAAAAAAGACGAGATTCGACGCAAAAAAAAAAAAAATTGTTATCAAGATTTCTCGAAGAGAAATACGTAACGTATATATATATTGATAGATTAAATGCGAAGAGGAGAATTAGATAAAGTTTAAATTTTATTGTACAGAATTTTCAGAATTTTTGTTTTTCAGGCAGATGTGAATGAAGAAATATTTTTAAATTGTTTAAAATGATGCATAAATGTTGGAATGTTTCATATAGATCCATATATTTTATAGATGGCCAAAATTTGCATTATAAAAAAATATTCATAATTTAAAAGGATCCTTGCTATTTCTAAATTTTATCGATAAAAGTGACTTGATCATATGTATATTTCAATCTCGATTCAGAAGCGAAAAATTTCACGAAGAAACTTAAAAAGTTCAAAACAAACTTCAAACATACAAAGAAAATTCAAGAAACAATTCTTCTTAACGCAAAGAACATAGGGATACGATTAAGAAGATTGCAGAGGATTGTGGAGTTATATAATTCTTATCCTTCTTAACGCAAAGAACATAGGGATACGATTAAGAAGATTGCAGAGGATTGATTCTCATCAAATCCACTCCTTTTACTATAACACTCTTTCCAAATTCATACAAATATCTCATTCCATTATCAAAAAATCCCAAATTCATCCTTGTCAATCTCAAAATTTTCTCACAATCTATTACAAACCGAAAGGGAACAACTCCACAAAAAATGATTCCACGAAAAAAGAAAATCGTTTTTTTTAAAAAAGAAAAAAAAAAGAAAAGAAAATCGCAAAATTTTAATCCATATTCCATCGCGCCAAACTAAAATTATCACCCCTACTACTACAAAACTGCTTAATCCAACTAATCGCCTGCTCAAAAATTCCATCAAAAGTCCCAAACGCGTTTCCGCTCAACAACGCCATCACCCAACCCTCCCCGACGAACCGAAACCCGAAAGAAAACGAGGCGATCTCCGATTCTCCGAAACTCAATTTTTCCCGCCATTCCCGCGCGAAACGCGCAGAGTGACGCGCCACGACACGCCGATGAACAGTGGCGGCCAACCGAGAGGGGAGGCGCGGCGCGCGGGGGGCGGGCAACGAATCAAAGGCGATCCGCGTTTCGTTCGGATTCGAACCTCTAGGTACATAATTCATCGAGCGTGCACCATTGTCGGGAGGTTCATTAATACAAATGGCGTCTGGTGAATTCCGCCACCGTCCCCGTGCCACACACCCTCCCCTCCCCTCCCCTCCTCCTTCCCCTCCCCCTCCCTCCGCCGCCGACCGCGATGGTAACAAGGCCGTGCGGGCATGTACGAAGGGCATGCACACCTCCCCCCCCTCTCCTCCTCCCGCGCCGCTCGTGGGCGAGACCCGCGTCGTCGCCATCCCCACGACGACGACGACGACGACGACTACGACGACGACGACGTCGAGACGGTTGGACATATTTTTCCGAACGCTTGTCGACTTTCATGAGGGCGTCTTTCCGCAATAACGTATTAATATCCCGGGGCATCCGCGAGACTTATGGCCCCGGGCGGAAAAACGCTCGACCCTGGATCAACGGCAGAGGCAGTTAAGGCGGATCCGCGAGGGACAGTGGACGCGGCTTAAAGCGTCGTAAAGCAACCGTTGCACGTACGAGGTTATCGGCTCGGAGGAATTGACAACGATACTGACCGAAATATCTTGCTCGTTTCCACAGAATTCCACCATTCCCTTAAGTCGTGGCCTGGATTTATCATTGATGGCCGAGCTTTTTACCTCGTGTACAGGGTGGCCTGTTGCGATACGCGATCGAGTGGGGAGATCGATTCGCTTATGGATGAAGTGGAGAGGAAGAGAAGGGATATTTTATCGTTTTGAAGAATACGATTTGATCAGTAAATAGAGGTGTATGAAAAGGTATATGATGAATTCGAAGAGAATTGAATATATATGTTTAATCGTTTTCACTTGCACGACAAATTTTCAGAATTGATTTACTCAAAGAAAGGAAAATTATTTTGGACGTATTACGAATAATGGAACACCTTGTATATGCTGGTCTTTTTCCGTTCTTCGATGGATTACGTAAGAGTGGGGATGTTGTTATGTAATCGAATACTTGATAGTAGATAGTATGTATAGTAAGGAGATTTGTTGAGAGAGTTGGCGAGTTTGAGTTTAAAATTTGCAATGATAATGTGTAATGGAAGGATAGAGTAAATTCGAGTTTGTGTGTCTTTTGATTTTTTTTTTGAAAGTAACTTTGAATCGGTGATTCAGAATGAAAAAATATGTAGTAGAAAATATGTATTTCGTTTGTATGTTTTTTTTTCATCCATATATAGTTGGCCATTTTGTGAAAATGCAAAATATAGTTGAAGTTAATGAGGTAAATATCATCATGTATGATAATATTTGAAATAATTGAAAGAATGAAAAATCTAAAAAAATAGTAAAAACATTATAAAATGTAAGTATGTAATGCAGTGATCAATAATTTATTTAAAAATAAATTAAATCTTATTTTTAAATTCGAAAAATGCAAAAATTCTTAAAACTTTTGAAGGTTAATTTTTCCCTTTTTTAAATAAATTTTAATTTTTAAAATTTTTCTAACTTCAAATTCATAAATTTCAAATCACAAAATGATCAATGAATCGATATTTTACCGATATAATAATTTCGAAATGTCGAATAACCCATTCCTCAAATATTATAAATATATATTTCCATTCAAACTGCAATGCGAAATAAAGCGGAAAAAAAAGCTACTACTTTTCCATATACAACAATGGAGCTTGCATACGGTCACGAATGGAAAGGAAATATTACCAGGAAGCATGGAATCGCCGGAAGGAGAGGGATGTTGGAGAGATTCACAGATGGATTGGTACACGGCCAGGGCCGCGGGCAAAAAAGCGAAAAAGACGCATGATCAAGTTTACATCGCATTTATTTTGTTCCTTTTTTTCCTTAGTAATCGTATAATCAAGGTAATATTACAATCAGCGTTCAGAGCAGCAACCGCCCCCTAGAGAAACAAAAATCGTCTCTTTAGTTTTATACACGTCGTTTTACAACACGTGGTTTCCACGCATAGGCAGCAGATGCGGCCCTGGTCGCTCTCGCGGGTATACATACAATCAGGATCCAAATTGGTAAACAACCGATATTCTAGAATTATATTACAAAAGAGGATGCTGTGTGTTTGCCTTGTAGATATTCGTTTTCCTTTCATTCTTATGTCGCCATCATCGCGGAAAAAAGAAATAACAGTGAAAAAAATGATGATAATGATAATGATAATGATAATGATAGTGACAATGATAATGATGATGGTAATGATAATGATGATAATAATGATGATGATAATGATGATAATGATGATGCGGCTACCACTACGCATGGATACGCCTATCCCTAAGAGATATAGGCCTATTTGCCTATAAAGAAATCCATAGTTTAAAACATTTTACAGCACAGCAGAGCGACGAATGTGTATATTCTTTCTATTCATATATATATAATTCTTTTTCGCGCGTTCTAACTTCGTCTCTTTTTTTTTTATTATTATAATTTTTTATCAGTTTTATTTTTCCATTCTTCCCGTTTCACCGAGATCCACAAAATAAATAATTATTAACATTACATTCCTCTTAGAAATACTGCGTTTACCTATTATTCTTGCGTGTCTCTTAGCGGCTATTCGTATACATTCATTAACTAGAATAGTTGTGTTTTACTGCCTTAGGATAGCGCCACGCACACTTTGTGTCTGGGTAGGCGTTTATAGGTACTAAGTAGGTACGTACAATGTAATAATCTTGCTTCGTTAAAATGTCTATCGGAGTTTCGTTCGATTTCTCTTCGTTTGGAACGAGGAATCGAGACGATTCACAGATAGAGAGAGAAATTATTATAAACGAACACAGTGAAAGAAAAAAAAGGAAGTACGGAAGAAGTAAGGAATCTGTGTATCTTTAATGTTTTTTTTCTTTTTTCTTTATACGTGTTCGGCGTATAAAGGTTACATTCGACTCGTAAGAGAAAAACCGCGCATGCGCCATTTTACCATTTTTTCGGCCTGGTATAGTGGCGCTTATACGCATCGCATAAACGTTTTTTTCTATAATATATAATATTTAACAAAATTATCGAACATCAACATATATATTTTGTACCGATCGAAAGAAACACGTTTTTATCGTCTTTTAGTGTGCTCGAAAAAAAGATCGGGACATTGTCATAGACAAATATTCTAATATTATTGCTATCCCCTTTTTCTTTATTTCTCTTCGAAAGAGATTAATGCTCGAAAGAAACATCGAGACACATGATAACGATAGAAACGTGTTCTCGTGTCGTTTCCGCAGACAAATAAAAAAAAAAATAATAATAATTAACAAAAACATAACATCAACAGCAGTCGTAGCATTATTAACACGCTATGGAAGGGATCGTGGTATCAGCGAGTGTATGCGATCAAACAAGCGAAATAAAACAAAATAATCGCTAAGTTAACAAAAAACAAGGAAGGGGAGGGAATGGCAGCATTCGTAAAACATATCAATCCTTTTTACTTAAAATTTTCCTATCTAGCTATTTTTTTTTGTCGAAATAACTTAAGTTTTTTGCATTTTTTAATTTTTAAATGAGAAATATAATTTTAAGAATTTAGAATAAGATCAAATTTATTTCTCTTAACCTTTTAATTACGAAAGACATATAATATTGGCATCATACATGGTATATATACGAATTCAAAGACTCGATTCCACAATTAAACGATTAAGTATTTTAATTTTCATTATGCTAGATAAAAATTTTAAATAAGAAGAATAGTATATCAGCAAAATATATTCCATTCTTTTTCTCTCTCTCTCTCTCTCTTTCTCTGTATAATATATCGATTCGCGAAAGAGAAAAAAATAATTATTTTAATCACCGGGGAGACAACGCGTGTCGATAAAAACGAAAACTGCCGAATCAACCCCCCCTCTTAATCGTTCATATACCCGTGTCGATCGCCATAGTGTGTTGACACTCGAGGATACTTGTGCTCACTTCCTAAGCGTTAACTTACTAATTATTAACTCTTAGCCATTTCGTTTACGTATTTAGGTTTTCAGAGAGAGATTGCGCGCATCCCAACGCACCATATACCACCACCGTTGCCGTGAGCAGAGATAAAACCCGAGAACAACGAGACATTATGAGAAACATCTGGACACATACATAATGTTTCTCGGTGATCGTTTCTATGAACGTGTTGTTGTTCACGCGTGTCGTCGCCTTTTCGCCTTTTCACGCTCGAAAACGAGATACGGGACGGAGATCGGTTGTTTTAACGAGCGGAACTATACTCCGTATAACTCACCCCCTCTATCTACACACACACTACTGCGCCAAAAGCAAGGGGGCCACAGATAGAGAGAGGCCAGAAATGTGGGAGGCGGGGAAGGGGAAAGGGGCAAAGGGTGAACTACTAGACAATACTAGGCTTGTACGGACGTCACTGTGCACTTGGATACTGATTGGTCTGCGGGATTATTGGTCAAAGTGAGCTGACAGGAGGTTTCTCCATGGGGGTGGTGATGGTTGCGGTGGCGCGCGGGGAGGGGGAGGAGGGGGGAGCAGGAGGCGGGTTCGTCACTCACCGGGTGCAGCATCCGATTCGCCGCAACCGATAAATTGACGATCGACAGATACGCACATCGACCATCTATTTGGCATTACAGAGACAGTGGATGCAGCCTGCCACTCACCTGAAACAGAAATCAGAAACGTGGGGGTTAGATGACGAGCTGTGTGAACAAAAAACGGATTTTCTTTTTTTATTATTCCTTCCGTGAAAAAGTGAAAACAATTTTAAATATTATAATATGCGTTATATACAAGATTTGTATATAACGTTGTTAAGAATTAAGAGAAAGTTATTGATTTACAAGTTTAAGATCTTTATACGGAGAAAAATGATGGCTGGATGGTTAGAAAAGTTAATTAAACTTAAATAACATATATATTTTCTTCGAATGAATAGGGAGAAAAAAAAAAAAAAGAAGGGGAAGAAGAAATGAATAGTCATAGTCGTAATAAAAAAGGGGAGGGGGGTGCAGTTTCACGAATGCTGGAACGAGTATCAAAGGGCGAATCTTAAGAAAGAATCGGTCGAAAGTAGCCGGGCGGTTATAAAAAGGAAGATATAGGGCCGAGGGCATGCGGAAGAAAAGGCAGAGAGGATTGGCAACGCGCTGCCTTCGGTGTGCGTCGTGTTCCTCCCTAAGACCCAACCCCTTTCGCTCTTAACGCGGGCTATCGATATCCCCGAGATACAGACACCACGAAAGCTCGAGCACAACGTGCGTGTGGCCGGACAAGGCACCACGTGCATTCATCCCATTACAAAAGGAGCTGAACCAGCGCCGGACGACCCTACCCGTCGTGTCCTCGACACACGTTCAACGTATGAACCCTATAGACAACCTTGAACCGGCTGCACCACCTTCCTAAGAATCGCCAACCCTCCCGTACATCAATGGCCACGGTTAATATTTTTCAACCCTTATGTCGACATCGAAAACTTTCAATGTTATTAAATTTCTAATTTTAGTAATTTTTTTTTTTTTCTTTTTGATAAAGAAATTCTAAATCTCGATGTGTAAATCAAACGTTGAATAATAATATAGAGTTGAATTTGAATTTTTTGAATTTAATCTAAGAGTGAAAAAAATTACTTATTTAAACATTACATTGTCAAAGATAAAAGAAAAATTTTGATTTATTTTATTTTCCTTAGCTTAAAAAATTGGGATTGAAAGTTATTTAAAGTTATAAAAGATGATAATTCGAAAAAAAAATCTGATTTAGTTGATATTAAAACAAGAATAAAAATATTTAAAGAATCAATGGTAACAAAAATGATCGGATTCACAAAACGAAAAAAATATTTGGAAGATGATACATGATTTAAATGCTTACGAATTCTTAAAAAATCGATGTATTACGTTGTAGAAGTAATATTCTTATTTTTTCTATTTTTTTCATATTTTTCCTATTTTAACATAATTTTTTTTTTTTTTTTAATAAGTTTATCGTGTATTTCCTTTCAATTCTTATGTACTTCGTTACAGATAACTCATATTGCGTAATTTTACGATTTAAAATTTACGAAATATAATTTTCTTTAACGAAGAAACGAATGAAAAAGAAACAAGAATATTTTGCATCTGGTTTCACCTTTGTCTTTTTCTTTATATATAATTCTTCCCATTCGATTTCGCAGGTTAAGTGCAGTTGCAAAATCGGAGAGAATGAATCGCGATTGTACCCGCAAGGACTTTGAATAAAGTTGTTTGCCCTGGCTGCGTCGGCCGTCGCCGTGACAAAGGCGAACGAAGGAAACGGAAAGGTGGAGAGGATGTTCCCGGAGCACTTGGCAAGGTCGGCACATTTTACAGCCGCAAACTCGCGCCAACTGTTCAATCTATCCGCTTATACGACCTGCTTCTTTCGCTTGCCTCGGAATATCCTCGATCCGAATTTACCGAAGCTGGCTCGAGTTATTCCTTTCAATCCTATTCTCCAAAAGTTGTAATAAATCTCTTTCTTTTTTGTATTTTTATATATTAAACCAGGAATAAATAAAGAAACAAAATAAAATGATAGATAATTCGTAATAAGTATCATCAAGTAATTGCACGATCTCAATGTTTAGTCTCTTCACTTTCCATCCATTTAGATTCCTTAAATCAAATAAATAAATCGATAATTAATCATCAAACGTTTGTACTTCTTATTCAAGTTTCTAAGTTTCTTTAGACAAGCGATGTTTGTTCGGCTACGGTCGGTTATAATCGGTTACGGTCGGCTATAGTCGGTTATAGTCGGGTATAGTCGGGATTCGTGCTTTCGGTTTTTGCGAGCTTTAAGCAACGTTAGACTCGCGCGACGTAAAGGCACGCGGGAACGGAAATTTATTGCGGCTTAAAAACTCCGGCTTCCTTCGGAAATCCTGATAAATGCGCGAAGGAGCAACGCCTCCACGTATATATGTACGTACGTTTAAACTCGTTGCACAGCCGGGGCGAAACGCGAAGTGACTCTAGGCCGAAAGGCAAACTTACGAGCAAAAATGAAATACAGCCACGGACAAACAACCGTGTTCTCACTAGCGCGCTTCTTGAATAATTTCTCCCCTATTTCTTCATTCTCGTCGATAAGATTCCTTGAGTCTCGCGTCGAAGAGATCGTAACCGAACTATTTCATTGTAATAATTATTAAATCATTAACTAATCTTTGAACATAATTGTTGGAACATAATTTTCTTGTAATTTATTTTTTTGTGATTTAAGTAATCTAATTTTTAATGGATGTGTCATTTCTAGTATATAAAATTAATATTAGAATTATCAAAATATCAAATTGATTAGAAATTTTTCTTAATTACTAATCTATTGTCTTTCTATAAATATAAATTTTTATAAAACTCTTATCATATAACTTCCATTATGTTACTTTCAACTCTAATGTAATCTATTTATTTCAGGATCTCCTTGTTTAAAATATCTTCACATCCATCATCCCGAAAGAATCTCTCGAATATATCGAACGAAAAATAGTCGTAAATTGTATCCGATCCCAACAAGTATTTAAGAAATCCAGGCGCGCGAATTGAGAAAAAATAACCCTAGGGATATGTAACGTCCCACGTGGAGTAGCGTCGTTCAGCTAGAACAAGAGGACGTACACGAAAAGGGTGGAAGCAAGAGGGAGAAAGACAGAGAGAATGGGATGGGGTTGAGCACGGAGAGCGGTTATTATCTATCGCTCTCGTTACCACAGGTTGCTCGTAAACCGGCCGCATCAAGAGGGTGGGGCGTTTGGGTTGGAGAGCAGAAGCATAGGTAGGTAGAGATACCGGTACTCATATCGTTGTCGTCGTCCCGTACCCTCGCACGCTACTACGGGGCTAAGCTCTCACCCCATCCTCCTCTCTTTCTATTTTATTCGGTTACCCATGCAGGGTATCGTGCCGGCGTGCGAATGGACGGCTGCGTCGAGGGGGCACTTGAAAAATCTCCACTTACAAGCGCCTTCCTTTTCCGATCCACTATCGATGGCGATTGCTTTTTATCCTTCTCTCGTTTCGCTCTTGTGCATGCGGCAATGGAGCTCTTTGTTTGAAGGAGATTGTATCTGAGATCGCTCGAGGAATGCTCGTTCAAATGACTTCATCGAGCGAGGAGATGCTGTACTGTGTCCACAGTTCTTTTAGTGCGATATAAGTTCGTGAGAAAAAATCGAGATGTAATTTTTCATGAATACAATATAGAATTGCAAGAGAATGAAATAATGTTTGAGAGCGAATATCGAAAATTTTAACTAGAATAAATATATTATTAATCAGAAACTTTATTTGGTATATTGCCATAAATATTCTAATCTATTATGATTATAAATAATGAAACGATACGTATTAAGAATTGAAAAATATAATTATATATATATATATATAATTATATATAAATATTTTATAAATTATATATAAATTATATATAAATATAATTATATATATATATATATTCATGTAATACGAAAATATTTAATTTAATCTAAATTCGAATTATTTTCACTATATTTAAAAGAATTATATCCACGCTAACTTAACCTTCAACTTAGCGCATGATCGAAAAAAAAGAATATAAAAAACTCAAACTGTTCCCAACGTATCTTCGACATAGCTCCATAATAATTTCACCGCGTTCGCGGTTTATAAATGCGTAGGAAACACAATGATGATCGATATTTCAAGTCCGAACTCGAAAGCGAGAGCGAGAGACAAAGAGAAAGTGAGATCGCTAGTCGTCGCGTCGCATTGAAAGCAAGAAGCGAACGAAATGAGAGAGAGAAAGAGAAGATCCGATAGCCCGCCAATGGAGCGAAAGAGATGGGCGCGAAGGGCGCACGAGACGGCGCGAGAACGGAGGAAGGTTCGCAGAAGCATCGGGATTGAGATCGAGTCGCAAGAGTTTTTTATCAGGGCGACGTTGCACGGAGCGCGAATTGCGCGTAACCCCCGCGGGGCAACAGCACGCCCGTCGCGACAGGGGGCAGCACCAACACCGGACCCGATACTGCGTGGTGTGTAGTTGCTGCGAGCAGCCGCTGCACCAGGAACTCATAAATCTCCGGGGATATAGATGGCTCTAGTGTCGCGTGAGGTTGCAAGCTACCCCATGCAGGGTGCCGTGGAACGCCCTCCCGCCCCTACTCTATCCCCCTTACCCAACCCATTCCTCTGTCTTTGTCTGGCTAACTTTCTCTCTCTCGCTTCGCATTTCTCTGCTTCCCCACTCCTCCGCCTCGGTCATATCTCTGTCACACTCGCTTGTCGTTTTCTCTCGCTTGAACGTCCTCCTCTCCGTTCGTTCGTTCGTTCGTTCGTTCGTTCGTTCGTTCGTTCGTCCGTCCGTCCGTCCAAGCCAGGCCAAGTTCCATCGGTCTTCCTCCGTTCTCGAATGCGTCGAATTACCGGAATCCCACCTTCGAAACCAAAGGTGGTCCCTTCTAGGCGAACCTTCCCTTTCCCTCCACACTTGCGCCGCGATATTTCACGCGGAGTTGTACGGTTTCGAACGACTGTGTACACGTACGAAATTCTCGTAGATGATCGCTTATCGAGTGAGCATCGATTTTAATTCTTCGCGCTACGGGACTTTTTTCGCTCTAGGGAATTTTCAAAATATATTTACTATAAAGATGAAA